TAACTACGCAGTTGCTGACGAGTGGTTAAATAATAACGTAAAGGTACTAACTGGGTGATAAATCTGTAATAGATTTCTCATAGATGGCGCTACGACTAAAAAGTCGTTGAAAGACCAAGTACAAAGACACGACGCAAGCACATAGAAAAATTCGTGAGGTCCGTTGGTTCGTTCCGTGGCTTAGTTGGTATAGCGTCTGGCACGGTATGCAAGAAGACGTCGGTTCGAATCCGACCGGATCGAAGGAATTTTTTCTGAGTGTTCGATCTTTGTATTAATAATTATAACAAACTAGTGGAGTAATTTCACAAAAAATAATTGAATATCAATTCAATAATAATTAAAATTCAAATAAAAATTTAATTAACAACGTAAATTATAATAATAACAATAACGCACACACTCAACATGGCCCCGCACTAGGGAAACCCTGTGTCGCGGGTGCCATGGACACACACATAGACAACCCCAAATTATACCCAAACTCACGAGAGAAATAAATAGGCTATACAAATATTTCTCCCGGCCTGGGAATCGAACCTGGGACCTCTGCGTGGCAGTCCAGTATGGTAACCGTTCGGCCACGGAGGCAATTGAAAAATTAGAGTCAAAAACACGAAATAAAAATAATGTGAGTTTTAATTTTACCGAGTTCATGTCTGGCGCGACCGGTTTGTAACAATGTTGCGGTGAGCACGTAATTGTATTCCTTTTTTAAGGGTGTTGCTGTTTTATAGTGCTGTCCTCGTCTATTGGTTGTTAATGGAACAGCTGAATACTGGTATATAGTAACAAATTATTAATTAAGTTGAATACAATAGAATTAGGTTAAGTTATAAGGGGAGTCGTTAAGTTAAACTTAAACTTAACATTTTACATTAAGTTCAGACTTGAAGTTTTTCTTAGGACATTTTTTTCTTTAACCAATAATAATTAAATATAAATAAACTATAAAGTTTACATTTTTATTATAAATAAAAAATGTTTATTGTTTTGAATATCCATGATATTTCTATGAATACCTATCTTTCTATGTATACCTTTCTATGTATATATCGATCTTCTATGTATACCTCGACTTTTTTTTGTGAAATGCTCCACTAGTTTTTTTTTTATTTTGTTACGAAAATTATACAAATCCAAAGAAGAAACAGTCGACCTTACGAATTTCTCTATGTGCTTGTTGCAGATCTTTGTTTTTTGTTTTAACGGTTTTTTTGCCGTAGCGCCACCTATGAGAAACCGTTGACAGTTTTGACCAAAAAGCTAGTGCGTGGTTAGATCGGGCCGAAGGATTTTTTCTTTGTGTATGTTCGAACTCCTTTCATAAACTATCACGGTGCGACATTATCGTCTCATGGACATAATGTTGAAAGTGTGTCAATTAAGTTATTCGTCACGCTTGATTGTATTAAAGGAAATTGACACGAATGCACACACGGGAAGAAAAAAACAATGGAAGAAGCGCCTTATGCCTCGATTGCTATTAGAACCGCTGTCGCCAAACTAGCACATTAATATAATTATTAATACAAAGATCGAACACTCAGAAAAAACACTCAGAAAAAATTCCTTCGATCCGGTCGGATTCGAACCGACGTCTTCTTGCATACCGTGCCAGACGCTATACCAACTAAGCCACGGAACGAACCAACGGACCTCACGAATTTTTGTGCTTGCGTCGTGTCTTTGTACTTGGTCCTTCAACGACTTTTTAGTCGTAGCGCCATCTATGAGAAATCTATGACAGATTTATAGAAGTAATTTCACAAAAAATAATTGAATATCAATACAATAAAAATTTAATTAATAGCACATTAATAATTTCAAACACTATGAAATCTTGATAATGATTGGTCGTAGTTTCTAATTAAAATATACATATATATATGTGTGTGTGTGTATGTATGTATGTATGTATGTATGTATATATTCTGAACTGTTAATACACATGTCATAATGTCTCACAACAATTCATTTTAGGTCCTAAACTGAATCGTAATAAGAGTTTATGGTAAGGCCCAAGGTTTACCTTCATTTCTTTTAACAAAAAAATACAGGATAACCACAAAATTGAAAGTTTATTAAAAAATCAATGAAGTAAGACTTAACGATGATATAAAGCACCACCATAGACAATATTACAAGTGCGACTATCATTTTTCCACTCCAGAAAACAAAGGAATTTTTCTACGATTTTCAAGGTTTTGTGTGAGATAATTGATACGACCATAACGTACAAAGCGAATATGGCGAACTGAGCGTGAATGAATGATGAAAGTGTGTGGAACTCCGCGTACTGTTGGAATACCACCCACGCAAAACTAAGCACTTATAGTAGCAGTAGAGCTCCTTGTGAAAGAGTTCGTCCAGGCAAGTACTGCCACCTTACCTATTTCTGTCGCCAAGCAGTAATGTCAGCATTACAGTATTCCGGTTTTGAAGGGTAAGGGTGCTGGCGAAATTACAGGCACATGGGACTTGTTAATTTAAGTCTCATGGTGACGGGCGCAGTAGCAGTGCCCCTCAGATCTTTGCGATTTAAAGCTCGGAGTGGCACTGCAACTGTTATGGACAGGCGTGCAGCTTACCATCAGGCTCACGACTTATTCGTCCCGTCACATGATATTATATAAAAAGAAAAAATTTCTAGTGTTCTGTGAATGTACATAATCATAAAGACGTGAAAGTAACCAAAATTTTACATAAAATGGGAATTGACGTGTTTGAGGTTAAACGGCACAGAGTGACAGCACTCAAGTGCCACAGATAATATACAATGGACAGCGAAATCGCGTGACAAGAAACAGGTCCTTGGCGCCCATACTATTTTTCTAATAAGGCAAATCGAGGGGTCCGAGAGTCCGAGGTAAAACCCAATAAGTATGTGAGTTTTTATGAAATGAGTTGTGTAAGGAGTGTGTTATGAATGATCGCCATAACTACAAATGATCTGATTTCACTTGGTGACATAATCACTCATGGGCTATAATTAATAAGTGTTATAACAGCATGAAGTATAGTTTTTTATGTATAATAAACCTTCAGTGTAACAAACAACAGACATGATTTATTAACTAACATAGCGAATTAATAGTATGTTATCATTATCAAATAAATTGCAGCTTTGGCCAAAAGTATTGACCACCTTAGGAATTTCAAACCGGCACAATAAGTATTGCAGAAAACAGACCCAAATGTTTAAGGACTATTTTTTCGGAAATTAAAAGGTTTAAAAAAATGATTACACAATGCACCAGGTATAAAACATGGTGCAAAACAAAAGTCATTTTAAAATTTGTGTATTTATTTCTCAGTTCGGTACTATCGCTTGCTGTGTACACATCCAGTGATCTAATTGCGCTTTTGGTGTTAGTTTGGTACATTTAGTGATATTGTTGCAATATGCCTAAAAGAAAGGAACATATTTTTCCGGATTTAAATCGCATATATTTAGGAAATGAAACTATTTTTCCGGATTTATTTCGCGTATATTTGTTTTTCAAACAAACCGACGTTTCGGACCCTTTACAGATCCCATGGTCATGGTTGACCAACCCAGGTCAACCGTGACCATGGGACCCTGTAAAGGTTTTTTACTTTGTTTCGTATTTTAAAATTTTTAGCTGCACTATAACAGGATACAAGTATTGTAAATTGTATATTGTACTTACAATGTTTGCTGATAATTAATAATTTAAACAAGGGTTAGTGGAGTGTAAAGCCGCTATTCCACTATATCTATGTGAATTACAAATCAAAATAGTTCATATCATACAAGTCAATTAATTAGTGTTATTTAGGATATTTTGTCATGATGTAGGATGTTTACCTAGTAATAGATGTCTTCTCAAGCGGAAAAGCATAATCAATTATTTGTGCAGGCAACATTATGTTTCACGTAACGAAGCGATTAAGTACACCTCGTGTAATGTTATTTAAATGTTATAAAGAACATTAATTATTACACCAATAGAAATTATTTAGCCATACAAATCTTTCTTTAAAAATTGTAATTGTGTATTTTAGTGAGGTCATAGTACGAATTTGACAGGTAATCCAACTTGCGGGCTTAAATAGGATTGCTCTAAGACTAAGGCCCGATTAGTAGTACTAGTAGTAGAGTACACTGAAAAAAAAAAGAATTTCTACTAATAAGAAAGAGCAATTTCTCAAAATATTTGCTAATTCTAAAAAAAGTAATAAAATATTGCCATTACAAAATACTGCTTATCTTTTTCTAATACAATTTTACTCTTAACTTTATTATTATTGTAACTTTTAGACACATACGTTCACTTCAAGATTTTATTTCATTTCTAATCAATTGATTGGACATTTCTTACATCAAGAAATTTTTACCACTTACATCAAATTTAAATAATCTTAAATGAATTCAAAATGTCTGGGTGTATTTTAAGAAAATATATTCTTGAACAAAAAAAGAAGTAGTTTGCTTTTCAGATTAATATTCTAAATTCTAGAGTATATTTTTAAAGCCACATTTCGTTGCGTTTTCATAGTCTATGTTGTCGTGACATGTCGCCGAAGGCGCACGCGGTTATTTCTTTCCGATTTCTGAGGTACCCCAAGGGCGGCAAGCCAGGGTATGAATGACTTTTGATGTTGGTTTTTTTAGTACTCTGTACTGACATTGTTATATATTTAAAGGTAGCCGGCGTGTCACTAAAGAGGTCCAGTTGCACGCATTTAAAGACATTGTTGTATTTTTTTGATAACTGTTTGTAGGAATTAAAAAAGAACACATAAACCTGAATTTGTCCTAGAAAAATCTGTGCTTAAATCTGATTATAAGGTTCCCTCCGATCGAACACGTACATTATGTACTATTGTGGGACATCCCTATTGCTCTGCTCTGCCCTTGTGGATGGGAAAGTCATTGATTTTGGCTTCCATTTTGACACGAGTACGGTTGAAGACTTGAAAATGATTATGCAATTATTAAGCTTTCTAAGATTCGATGTTTTTCTATGTTATAGGCGCAAGAGCACACCGAGGCCCCGTCGACGGACACCGACGCCGCCAGCGGGGTGGACGCCGGCGATGCGTAAGCGCCTATACTACGGCGCACAGTGGGTCCCCCACGGCATACTGGACTATAGTGCTAGATCAGTATTACCGTGTGCAACAACATGAGACACATTCAGTGCTAGCCAATACTGTGACGTAGCGACGACGGGACGACGGCGGCACGGCATCGACACGATCACGACCCACGCACGACAGTGGTGAACTTTTACTTTTAAATACTTTAATACAGGCCAATGTAACTAGCATTTTAGGTTTAAATGTGTTCTGTTTACTATACGTAATGTTTTAACAGTTAATGGGAAACTGAATGTTGAATGTTTGAAATTACTACGGCAGTATTTTTTATTGTGTCTTAAGTGACGCTGTGTTTTTTTAAAGTCGTGTCGGCGTCGTGTCGATTGGTTGTAAAACGCCCAAATAGTACCTTATTTTTATTAAGTGTTTAATTATTAGATCCATGGGCTATGGTTACAATTGCAACGTGTTAATAACTGACTAGTGCTTTTCTCAGCAACTGAAATTGAAATTACCATACAAAGGACACAAAAAAATTAAGTATTTTTTATTATTTAATTATATGGCATATTATGTCACGTTTCTTTCATAATTTCAGTCGTTGAAAATGTTAACATAGTACAGTTAAAGTTTAGTTCATTTTGATAAACGTTAGCTTTTGAATATCAAACATTTGATGTGAGTTTAAGCCACTTCAACCCGTATTAATAAAGCCATCTCAATCGTAAAATCGATAATTAACTTCTTACTTAAGTCAAATCTCTTCATTAATATATGTGTTGATCATTATAAAAGTGGTGTAAGTCCATATTTTAAAACGCATATTTTTTTCCTTAAAAGTATCACATTTGTGACAAAGTGAAGCAACTCCAATAATTGCACTAACATCCCATAGATGGCATTACTAGTTTACTCAACGAAGTAAAATTACTACACATTAATTTGCTAAAAGCTCATTATTTCAAAAGTTAATTACAAGGACATAATTCACTTTTACAATGAACGATACATATATCACTTGATTACTCGATGGTTACGAATCATTTAGTACTTATCAAAATCTCCGCTTGTTAATAAGGTTTTGCTCGGCATTTGAGCCGAGAAATTAATCTATTATATAAAAGAACTTTGACTTCGACTTGGCCAAAATGGCGAACTAAGCTTGGTTTTCGTATTTACAGCGCTCACACAGCGGCTTTTAGCAGCGATACAAATGCGTGATTGCATAGTTGCAGTCTACAGATGGGGAAAAGCGTTACATTTTTATCACCGTGACTATTTATTATTCCAGTTACAAAAAATCCCAGTGACAAATCACCGTGATTTTGGCACGCCTATCACTTACGTCATGATGTATAATTTTGGCGGCCTCTTTCTAATATTCGTTATTATTACTCACTTTGAAGTAACGTTTAATTCCATTTGAAAAGTTGATCCGCATTAACCTTCACAGTTTTACAGGCTTAGTACAGTCACATTATTCGTTAATAAGGCCTAGCGTTGTTTATATTGTTTTGGATCAATTTTGTACAATTATCTTATTTGTGTTTACAATATTTACACGGTATGTATTTATTGGTTCATAATTAGAATTTAAAAATAAAAGCTAACGCTAAGCGCAGTCGCTAGTTTCTAAAGAACGGAGATAGCGCATGATTTTGTAAAATACGTTGTATGTGGTGATATGCGTGACAAGGACGGTTAGTGGAACGGAGTAAAAAGTCACGGTGATACCATTTGACGGCTGATCACTGTGATTTTTTCATCGTGACGTTATTTATCACCCACCTTTAATAAGTCGCTTATGTTGAATAATTGAAAACGTGCATCACGTCTGCATCGTGATTGCATCGCATTTGCATCGCTATTATATAGCTGCTAAATCCTGGGTGTAAAGGTAGACAGACGATTAGCGACTGCATCGCCACTGCGTCGCGACTGAATCGCTGCAGACGCGCTGATAAAAGTCGCCGTGTGTAACAGCTCTTACAATACGAACTTACTCTTCCAATTACTAAGTGAATGCAAGGTTTAGTTGAATTTCTTGCTTAAACTTAGGCAAAGTACGTTTTGTAAATACGAAAATCTTGCTTATCTCGCCATTTTTGCTTAATCGAAATGAAAGTTCGTTTTATAAATCTCAGCCTTAAGCTGCCGCTCACGATCGTTATTACGAGTCTATTCTACTATCAAAAATAGCTTGGTTGATTCGGCGGCATAGCAGTGAAAATGTTGAATCAGTAACTTTGAAAGAAAAATGTATAGTAACATTGAGGATTTACACTGATTACTATATGATATGAAAACACAATTCATAAAATTCCCTTTTAAATTTTTTTTATATCAACTGAATTAAATGGAACCGCTCGACCCAAGCAAAATAAATTACGGTAATATTACGGTAAAACTCTGAATTCGTGCTGAGGTAGTATAGACTCGAAATTAATCAAGTCCGGGGTCTTGGTCACTTGTTATGAAATCGATACCAATGATTATAGTTTATTAAGAGATGACAGAGTGATACCTCAGCTGTCACTTGAGAGTGGTTTTATCTAGAATCTGTTTATCAAAACGGGTTTGAAATAAGTAACACTTATATTAAAACTTTAAATCGTACAGACTAATTTTTAACCCAGACATTATTTATTATTGTCAGATGTGTGATTGTTAAAAAACCATACTTCCTTTAATGTCACAAAAAGAAATGAATATCATGGTGGTAAAATATGTTATTCAATAAAATCAAAAGCTAACTGTTAAAATAGAATGAATTTGCTTTAAAATCACTAGACCGACAAACTAAGTTAATGCTACTGATTTGATATCGCTGCTAAGTTTAAGTGAGGGTTGAGTAGGCATGCAGGCGCCGGGCGTGGCTTGAATGTGCCGCCCCTCTTTGGAGCCTCCCTTTCGCTGGAGCAATTCGTAACTTCTTTATAGATCTGCTGATAGACACTGTTGTGCACAAAAGTTGAAAAAGTGTCAATGGCATTATGCATTAAATCAAAATGCTTAGATCACTAAGGACGCGTTCCCGTTATGTCGTGACGATAGATAGTCGCGCAGTTTAAAATGTCGTGACTTGTATATTTAAATAAAGTTGTTCACATATTGTGCAACATGATTAACTGTTGTTCATGAGTTCTTTGACGTTGCAACGACAGACTGTCGTCACAATGGGAAGAGCTCGAACGAAAGTCGTCAGATGATAAATTAAACGTCACGATAAAAATGTGACGACAGATAATCGCAGCTTCAAACGGTTCCGTCCTGCAAACGATAAAGCGGCTGCCGTGAACCGAGAAATTGTCCTCACGATCTAGTAGGAACAGCTAGACGTTCGTTCAACGATAAAATAAACGTCCACAACCCAGTCACGAGAGATAGTCGTGATATGGGATGATAATAGACGCGACAGTCGTTGAAAAATAAATAAAACGATAAATAAAACGTTACGACATAATGGGAACGCGCCCTTAGACCGCAAGAAATCGTGAGTGCAATACTAAAAAGCTCGCTAGCATATGCGTATAATCCATTTACGTAACTAGGTAATAATAATACTACTTCACATCTTTGCTCTGGCGTTCTGGTTCTTGGATAGCTTTTACAGATTAAAGGCGCCTTCAATTAGACGCTTATAGAAGCGCAGCCACGACACTACTAATTTTCATACAATATTTAGAAGCGCAGTTGCAGCGCTATTTTTACAGTCACAATTAGTGAACGCTACAGACGCGCGGCGCGGCGCCACTGTCGTATCACTGCAGCGCTTCTATAAGCGTCTGTTCTGAAGGCGCCCTAACAAACTTATCAGCAATACGACAATGAAAGAAATCAAGATGAAAAATGTCTAATGAACTTTGCAGTCGCTGTTGTTAAAACGTCGCTGCGCAAACTCTAGCGCCACATGTAATGTTAAAGACAATTGGGTCAATCTGAATTTACTTGGCAGCGGTAACAAAAAATCTATCAAATGGCGCACTTTTGTTTTGTTTAACCAAAAACAAAAAATAATCTAAAGTTTTATTTTTTATTCACTCGTTAAATGTACACAGATTCGTGTGTTTGTAACTAGAACACAATTATATTGTACCATTTTAATATCAAATTTTATTAATATGCAATCTATTCCATCCAACATGTCCATTTTGAAGAAAAAAGAAACATTTGTCCGTTTACATAAGAAATTGTGATATTGTTTGAATTTCAAGATTTGATTTGATCTCACTGGTTGGAAAATTATTTGTAAATTTTTTTTAAATACGAGAAATTAAGTGTAAAAATATTTTTGTTTTAAAGATAGGAAGGCGAAGTTTGTATTCTAAAATAAAAAAAACGAATGGTCGACAACAGGGGCTATCCCTAACTCAGTTAGCGGGTCATTGATAGTCTTTTTGCATTTCAAAATTGGCAGCTTCCTCTAAATGTAAAAAAATAGCTACTTTATTAAATATAATTTCAATAGGTAGATAGGTAGAAATGCACATTATGTATAATGTGCTTATAAAACAAATTAAGAGGTTTATGATGAAAAAAATGTCAGTCATTTGGGTAACGAAATTTTATTTCGTGTTTCTTTGCGTATTGCAATGTAGGTGTGATTTATTGAAGAGACGTTATTTACCTTCGTGTTTCGACATTATAACGGCTATCATTACGAAAACCTATTACGTAAACTAGCTTGGTACTAATTTTTTTCATCCTGGAACAAGCTGAGGCGTCTAATTGTCCATACTGCCAGACCTATCAATCAATAGTTTCATTTTCTGACATTTTTAACGGGAAATGGTTATATTATTATTATTTCCTTAATGGCGGCCACTAGGTTTGGGCCAGTGTCAATTTCAGTGTATTTTGTCAGTTAATACTGATCCAGAACGTCAACGTTTAGATGACGAAGAACCTTTTCGACGGATTGCTGTTGTGGTGTGGCTTCAAGTGGCCATCTTTACGATGGCCATTTGAAACCTGGCAACCCTAAACTAGATTGATTAAAATGACACATGTCAAAAACATGTCCAAACTTCATGAACCTGTGAAGGGACAGTGAAATCGAGAATCGATGTTAAAATATATCGACTGACCTTTCTAATAATGGCGAAAAGGTGCGGTGCCACCATTTGTTAATTTTAACTTCCGTAGATGTGACCGAGCACACATAAATACTTAATAATATATTGGTGCACATTGGGTAAAAAAATCACAAAAAATAAAATGTTTATATTGACATGGATTATTCAAACAAAACCTTGTATTCCGTTTCTCTAGCCGAGTCGAGAAGGAGTTGACAATTCTATATTTTCGATGTGTCACAACACATTTTTTTCCGTTCGACGTATCTTCATCGTGTTAAGATATGAAAATTATCTCCAACAGTAATGTATCTATGATTTATGGGTTTTAGTTACCATGTATTAGTACTGGGTGGCAACGTAAATATATAATATAATTATTGTTTTGCGACATTCAAAAAAATATAATGAGAAGGACTCTGCTACAAAATTACGTCGTCTCAATTTTGCCGACCAGTCATTCTAATCAAGCTAAATTTTATATGATTCTCTG